TAAAGTTTTTATCTATAAATAACTAGAAGTAATTTTTATTGTCTGGACTCGTATCTCATATTATCAATTGAGGTGTTCGGATTTCAGACATTGTAGCTGATACATTTATCCTTTGTAAAAGGTCCTTACCCAAAGGCATGGAATCACATCCTCCATTATGTGATTGTGATTAGAGTTTCATTTAATTTTTCTTATGAACTCTTCGAATCGAGTCTAATGTGATTAGAAAATAGAATTCATTTTCTTTTTTTGAAGTAGCAACAACATTTGAAGTTTATTTACACTTAGACTCTATTTTTTAATTTTTAATTTCAAAATTGGATGTTAGAAAATATTGGAAGAATTTAAGTGTTAAAAAGTTAATCAACTAAATGATGACCTAAATACATATGTAAGAAAACTCTAATTTTGGATAAAAAGAATTCATCATTATTTGTGTTTGATGTGGTATGTTTTAAATTTAGATATATAATGTTATTTTATATTTATCATATGCAAATAGATTTTTAAGTCGTTGTTGGAGGAAATTAAAAAGAATTGGAAAGAATTAAAAAGAATTAAAAGAAACTGTAAACAGTTAAAAAAATTAGAAGTCAAATTTTCCAAACTAAAGGAATAGAGTCTTATTATATGATTTACAAAATATTATCCATAATGAAAAATACATATTTATTTACATGATAGCATACTATTACTCCATGATAACTTTCATTTGACACTTTTCCCTGTGTTGAGTTGAATGTAGGTAGAATAGTGATGTTTAGTTATTTCACTAAAATCTCGTGAGGCAACAATTCTCTACATTTATCAATTATCTTTCTACTTTTTATTACAATCTCTAGATAATTTATTTTTGTTTCCATACTTTCATCAATTACTTGACAAAATAAAATATTTTTGCCATGTGTTATGTTATAGAACTTTTGCTAAAATTTTGAATAATGTAATTTATACCTTTTTATATACCAATTTGTAAATAAAGCAAATTTAAAAAGATGAAATTTTGTGCGTTATTTAAAATGAGAATATAAAAATAGACGGAGGACGTATGTGGTAAAAATAAGCTTGAACGAAAAGAAAAAAGAATAGTACTTATAGGAAAATATGAAAATGTTTTTTAATTTTATTGACTCTATACAATGTAATATCTGTTCATACTATTCTTAACGTAATGGCGCACAAAGAGTTAACGTTTCCACATTCGTTGGGGCTCGAATCTCGATGAACTTCCCCATGAAACATGAGGAGTACATCAATAGGCTTTCTACCACTCAGCCCATGAAAGTGTTTTTTGTTTAGTTTATACTTCCATTAATTCATACTTCAATTAATAATGTCTTCAAAAGTCATTATTTCGTTAAGATTTCTGTAAGTAACAAAATCCAATGAAAAAATCAATTTTGGTGTAACGGAAAGAATTTGCATAATGTATATGCTTGGCTCCCCTCCAGTCTATACATCTATATATGAATGACTATGTAGAACTTTATGATAAATTGAATTATGGAATTTGTTGTTGAAAGAAATTAGAATGTGTTGGAAGAAACTGGAAAGAGTTAGAAAATATTAGAAAAATTAAGAGTTAAAAATCACTCTATTAAATGACCACCCAAATAAATACGGAGTATGTAAGAAAATTAATTTTGTATATAAAAAAACACTCATCTTTGTCAGTGTTCGAGGTTTTATGTTATAAATTTAGATATATAATGTTATTATATAATTATTATTTGTAAATACATTTTTAAGTCGTTGTAAGAATTTAGAAGGGTTGATATACATTAGAAGAAATTAGAAAAAAAAATTGGAAGGAGTTGGAAGAAAATAATAGTTTGATAAAGTTATCAGTTAATTTTTCCAACCAAAAAAACATAGCCAAAGTAATTCTAATTACATCTACTAATACTCCCCTCAGGTTGTAACACAAGAATAACAAATGCATTAATTGAGCAATTAAAAAACTAAGAGTAGAAAAAGTAATTTGGTAAACAATTTCAACTAAAAGTTGATTTGCTGCTCCAACAACGAGTGAAGGCAACTGACCAAGCAAATGAACAACCAAAGTCTGATGACAAATGATTCACGTGCTAGATGAGAAGAGCGAATGCATTATTTGAGCAATTAAAAAACTAAGACTAGAAAAAGTAATTTGGTAAATAATTTCAACTAAAAATTGATCTGCTGCTCCAACAACGGATGAAGGCAACTGACCAAGAAAATGAACAACCAAAATCTGATGATGAATGATTCACATGCTAGACGAGTAACAAATGTTCAAAACGAAGAAAGATTGTATGAACTATGTGGACAACGATAGAGCTGACATAGTTGGGTGGTCGTGTGTGGTTCAATTGTGGGCATGAACTTATTTAAATGTTGTGTTGAAATAGTAAAATATCAACAAAGAAAGCTTACAAAATGAAGAAATCACGAAGAAAAATAAAAAATGACACAAGATAGTATGCTTCTTTTGTCAATTAAAAAATCGAGAGGCTTGTGATGAAATAATATTTCATTGAGCTAGAGATATTGAACCCCCCTAATAGAATTGATTTCTAGAAGATGCTCAAGAAAAAATGAGCTTAGGTTCTCTGTTCATACATATACACGTATACAATATGCTCTCTCTTAGAATATGCTCTCTCATAGTATTGTTTATCTAATTATCTTCTTCCTTATATAGAATGGAGCTCAATTAATTCCTTTGATACCAATATTATATATAAATACTCTCAAAGTTATATAGAATCTTAGTTCCTATACTATGATACAATTTGATAATAATTAGTTTTATTAAATAATGAAAGATACATCCTTATATATAGAGATTATAAGAGAAAATTCTAATCTAAGTAGGAAAAAAAATTATAGTAACAATACAATAAGAAAGTAATGTAATAAGGAAGGTAATAAATAATAATATTCTATTTCCTACTACATCTATTGTTCCTAATATCTCTAGAAGTTGATCATTGGTAATAAGGAGCGGCTTGGAGCACAATAATAATAATAACATACTTATGGTAGTATTGGTTATAGTAGTGTTTGATTATTCGTTAGCTTTCTATTCTTATTTATGGTAGATGTTGATTATTAGCTAGCCGCCCACCGGACCGATGTTCTTCCTTCAATTTTAAAGATCGGCAACTTCTCCAAAAAAAAAAAGCTCTCTCAAGTCATCTTTTTCTTCCTCTCAAAATCAAGGAAAAACAACAATTGTATCTCTCAAATTTATCATATCAAACTCTCAAATCCAAATATTTTCTCTATCACCAATTCTTAACCTGCCTTTTTTCTCTCAAATCATCATTTTAATCATCAATCGTCATTCTCTTTCTCTTCTGTTGAACCAATAAAAATCCAAATCAAATCAACACAATAGCAAAGCCAAGAGAGGAAATAGAGAAAGAGAAAAGAATACCTCGGTAACTCACTCCTCCAACAAAGTCATAAAAATCTCACTATTGAGAAAGAAACAGGCATTGCCCAAATTCAAGAAAAAAGATAGAATATTAAGGATCATCAATCAAACATGCATCTCTGATAACATTCTTTATTCTTCTTCGACGTCAGCAGCTACTATACAAGCACACATCAACCTTTTCTCTTTTTCAAAGACGTCAGCAGCTACCAGCGCACGTTTGATTTCTCTCTTTTCCAATGATGTCAGCAGCTACTGGCACACATCAGACTTCTCTTTTCTTAAGATTTCTAGTTTCCAACTAGTGTTCAAGCTTCCTATTACTTCAGCTTGAGGGAGTTGTTAGACAACAACAACAACAACAACAATAACAGCAACAAGAACAACATTACTCATGGTAGTATTGGTTATAACAGTGTTTAATTATTAGCCAGCTTCATATTCCTATTTATGGTAAATGTTGTATTTTAGTAGTTAGTTTCCATTCTCTATTTCTAGTTTTGTTGGAAACCCCTCATATATATATTCTATCATGTACTCTATAATTCAATGAAAAATATTATTATTCTAATATTTCAACATCACGTTTATATTTTTTTGGCTATATTAATTATCGCCATAGTTCTGTTGTCGCTAGCAACACTGCTTCTGGCTTTTGGAGCACATATAGTCTTTACTCTGCGAAATTAATGATTCCTACCCACTTTAACCCCCACCATGTCCTCCAAATATGTGGTGATTAGGCCTAATCACCACATATTTGGAGGGAGTGTGGGTGGGGCTGAAGTGAGTAGAGTAGGTAGGTACCTTGAATTTTGCGAAGGGAGCGCTTAGTGGCAATAAAATGTGTCCAATTATTTATTCTATATTTATATATTTCTTAAATTATATATTTGAAATATCTCATTATAATAGGTTAAAATCCACCAAGCATTTATTACAAAAGATTAAACAGAAATGTGATTTTATTTTATACAAAGCAAGTTATACATATGAACTTTGAATGTAATCGAATTACATGAAATTACTCTATGGAAAATAAATTTAGATAAATAGAGAAAAAAAATCAAATATCAAACTATATTGGGTAAAATGCTTATAAGGTCTCTATATTTTTTTAAAAGTATTTTCTAAGTGGTTGAATTATTTTAAGTGTTTACTAGATTTCTATATATTTTTTAAAGTGCTCCATAGGTGATAATCATTTGTGCGACACATATGATAATCATTTGTGCAGAGCTTGAGTGCACCCCACCATAGTAACTATTTGGAGCCACACAAGCATTTTTATATAAAATTTTCTCTAAATTTAACCCACCACACTACAGTCATGTTCTCCCAACTTATTTTTTACTTATTACTTATTCTTATTGGAATTAAATCAGATCAGATCAGATAAAAAACATTTAAAATATAACAACATTCAAATCAAAACTTATTTCAAAAAGATGAGAAGACCAAGTGAAAGAAACATGACCTCATCCATATTTCCAAACCTCTCCTCCAAATCCACACAAATTGAATGTGCCACGCAGTGTTCTCCAAACCCAATATCGTCATTTTACAGAACCGTACTTCGCCCTCGCGGCTTCGCCACGTCTTTGGTCCCGTCGCCCTACCCCAACCCATTGCAAAGGTTTCTCCCTATTCCACCCTCACACCCTACTGTCAGCTAGTGGGCAGTTGCGGCCCAACATAGTCATTTCACACCCCCCCCGTTTTTCCGTTTTTACAGAAACAGCGCAAGAGGAAAAAGATTCCACAAGTGTTTGTGTGCGCACATCGGACCTCAAACACCAGAGGGGCAGAGCTAAAATGAAAAAAAGGGGGAAAAATTGAGTGAAAATTATTCAGTAGAAAAATCACTCTCACTCTCCAGTCTCCGCAAAGAATGCTCTGAAGAATTCCCATTCTTCTTCTCGTTCTCTACATTCTTCTTAGTTCTTGAGCTGTGTAAAGCCATTAATCGTATGCATTTCTTTCTTTTTCTTTTTCTTTTTCTTTTTTTATCATTTGCAATGTTTTTTTTTTCTGGGTATTTTTTTGGCTGTGCTTAGAGGTGTTTTCTCTTGAAATCTAGCTTTTTTGGGGGTAATGGCCCATATCTGTTGTTTATTTGGGTTTTTTTTCTTGAAATGGGAACTAGGGTTTTTGGCGCGGGTATCGTGTGGTTCAACCCTGTGGTTATGTTTATCTGCATGTGAGTTTTGCTCGGAGGATTTCAATGTTGCTCATAGTTCTGGGTTTTGGTCAACGCTATATGTTTGTTTGTTTCTTTAATTTAAAGATCGTGCTAATGAGAGATGATGATCCCAGCGCTGTATTATACATATATTTGCCTTGGTCATTTTTTGAGTGGTCTTTGCTAAGAAGAGTAGAAATGTTTATATAGTTCGTTTTTGCTGGAAATACCGAGCTTTCACCTGCAGGGTTGCAGTTGAAACTAAAGAACGTTATAATCGTATTTGGCTGCGGGTTGAACACATTATTTACTGGAAATGGGGGAAGAACCACAAAGAAAATGGAAAAAAGTTCAAACAAGACTAATATGGGGTGTTGGAAATTGGAATGACTCAGCATTGCTACTTTTGGATGCATTTGAATTTAATTTAATTTGGAAAGTGAAAATTTGTTGAAGTGCAACGACTAGTGTTTACTCTATTAAATCCATTTATGTTGTTTTTGGATTGCCTGTTCTGTTGATCTGTTCTCTATTTGTTGATGTGTTTACTAGTGTTCTCTATTCAGTGTTTATTTTATTAGATCTTTTTATGTTGTTTTTGTTTAATTAGTTTAATTAAACAAAAAAATAATTAATACATCTCTTTTTGTTTCTAGATTTTTTTTCCAGCTTTTGTGAATAGAAATGGAAGAAGGTAATGTATTGAATGGGACAATAAAGGGCATCAAATTTGGTTTGGCTACCCGCCAAGAAATTGTGAGCATTTTGTCTGCCTTGCATTACTCTATCATATACATACACATTATAACTATTATCCTGGCTAAGTCCTTTTTTTGAGAAGTAATTCAATACATTTGATTTTTGTGCAGGTGAAAGCCTCTGTAAGTGATTGCCCTATAAATCATCCTAGCCAGCTGCTGAACCCTTTTCTGGGCCTTCCGCTTGAAGCTGGAAAATGTGAATCGTGTGGTACTGCTGAACCTGGGCAATGTGAAGGTAAGCAAGAGTGTACTTCCCCACTCTTTTTCATGTATTACTTTGTCTTGAGCTCATGGTCAGTTAACCAATGTGAATTTCATTTTGTTGTACTGACATTTCAGGTCATTTTGGCTATATTGAATTGCCCACACCTATATATCACCCTGATCATGTTAGTGAGTTGAAGAGGATGCTTAGCTTATTGTGCCTAAAGTGTCTCAAGTTAACAAACAGGAAGGTATCACTCCAATACTACCACATATGAATATATTGAATTGGAACAGAGGGAGTAATACTAAGTTATATTTGAATACGAGACTACTAAAATATATTAGTAATGTATATTGTATAAACTATAAAGTGATGATGTTCATACTTCAACATGTGTAAAAATTGATGACATTCATGCTTCAACACTTGTTAATACTTCCAGATTATCTATACAATATGAGGCAGCTAAAAATTGATGATGTTCATACTTCAAGATTTGTAAATTTGAGTATTGGTGTGATGGGAATTTGCCATTGCTGCAAGAAGACCCTGTCTTTTTAATCTGATGTCTTGTCTTGTACTGCATGCTTTTTAGTTTCAGGTGAAGCATATTGGCGTTCTTGAGAGGATGATGCCCTTGTGCTGCGAGGTTAGTTATCAACATTCCTTGTTATTATGTAAAAATTTCATTCTGTGTACTTCCCTATTACTCATATTTCTTTGCGCTACACATTGTACTGAATTTAGTGAAGACTTCACTATTTTATTCCTTTTAGGAAAAAATTGAAACATGTAATGGCTCAGCATTACATGTTTAGACTTCACTCTAATACACTTGTTATTTGGGATGCATTAATCCCAATTCAGGGATTTGTCTTTTTTGTTCCCAAGTTATGTGCTTGAATGAAATGCCTCAGCATATCTTCTCTCTCCAGTTCCCATCAAAGTCCATGCTTTGAAATTCTAAAAGTTTCCTCGGTTTCTTCTTTCTCATTTAACTATAACAGTTCAATGATAAAAGATTTCCAATTTATTATTTCTGTGAATACACACTACGGTTTGATGAAATATTACTTTGAGCAACATGATTTGTGTGCTTAATTACCTCATTTTGTTTCCGCAGGATGTATCACAAATATCAGTAACTGAAGTTAAAAATTCGGATGGCGCTTGCTATCTGGAGTTGAAAGTACCAAAGGATGCAGCTAATGATGACATCTGGAGCTTCTTGGAGAAATATGGATTCCGATATGGTGATGGCTATTCTCGTAGATTACTTCCTTCCGAGGTTTGGCTTGTCAAACTCAAACACTTTTGATCTAATCATGATTTTCTTCTTGGCCTACAGATGTAATCTGTTAGTTTACAGACGTATTTCTTCTTGGCCTTGGTGTTTATTTGTTGAATTATATGCTGCCTTTTCTTTAACTCTTGTGCTAAATATTCATCCAGTAAGCACTTTTCTCATTTCTTGCACAATTGTACAAAGTAAAATTATTAGATGTCAGAAAGAAGAATCTAGAATTAAAGTAGATGGGTATATGTTTTCACACTTAGCATCCCAGTTGATTTGTATGTACCTCATTAACACATTTTGTTCCTTTTGTAAAACATACCAATTGAAGTTGCTTGGGTGCCCCTCTAGGGCATTTTTATGGAACTTGCTATTTTTTTCTGTAATTCAAGCCTAAATAATTTGTAACTAATGTTACTTGGCACAATACTGGTTTTGTATAAAGTATCTTATTTATGCTGGCAATGGTATATAATAGAGTGCCTTTTCTTTTCCTTTAACTTATTGTACTATGGAGACATCATGTTCGCGTGCTTATGAATATGCTTTTTATTTTCCATTGGAGAATGGACTATATGACCATACTTTGGAACTTGAAACTTGTTTTTCATGATACGACATAATGTCATCTTAATTTTATTATTTTCTTCTAAAATAGTTGTCCTTGTCGGATGCTTTTTTTCTAAAGGTAGCAACTATGCTTAAAAAACTGCCTGAAGACACCAAAAGAAAACTTTCTGCAAGGGGATATTCTCCACAAGAAGGCTATATCCTTCAATATCTGCCTGTCCCCCCTAACTGTTTGTCTGTGCCAGACATATCTGATGGGATGAACATTATGTCTTCGGTAAGATCATTAAGATGTTACCCTACTTTTGTTGTGTCGGTGAATAATGTTAATTATTTTCATTCTCATGATGGTTGTTCCATGGGCGTAATTAGGATCACTCAATAACAATGCTCAGAAAAGTGCTGAAACAAATAGAGAACATTAAGAGCTCAAGGTCTGGGACACCAAATTTTGAATCTCAGGAAGTGGAGGCCAATGATTTACAAGTAGCAGTTGCTCAGTATCTTCAGTTCAGGGGCACTGGCAAGGTGAACTGCTAATCTTTTGCCTGTTTCTTTTTTCAGACAGTCCTGCACACCCTGTATCTCAAGTGGGTATCCTTCACCTTTTACAACAGTATTAATCATGGTCGGTCTCTGAATTCTGCATTTGTCACATGATTCATTCCCCCGTCTCCCACTACTCCCTTCAACTCACTAAAAAAAATAAAAAAAATGAAGACCTAGTAGTGGTTTTATCTTTAATCTACATTATTATATTGCTTATTACATGTCATAGAGAACGGGACAAGTTTTATCTATATATTTACCTTATCAAGCAATTTACCGCTCGGGTGATAAGGATCGTAGGCAATCCACTTTATTCTATTGATGCCGTACATCTATATCTTTATCTATACAAACAAAAATGGAAAAGTGAGGGTATCCCGCTCAAAGTCACAGGTTTAAAATATATCTTATACGAGTCAAAATGAGTTTAACAGTCTAAACCTTGTGGTGAGGTAATGACTTTCGGTAGTTACTATGCATAATTATTGTACTCCCAATGGCCAATGCTGTGAACTATTGGCATTTTCCAGTATTCCATTACTTACAATGGCGGCTATAGTTTCTTCGTACATGCATATACATATACTCCCTCCTCCAAATTAAATTCTCAATTTCATTTTTTATTTGTCCCCAACAAAAGTGCGCACATCCTCTTTTCTTTTTAAGAAAGAATGTGTGAGTGTGACACAACATTTCTTTCTTCCAGACAAATTTCCAAAGTTTGAACTACTCTCTAATCATGTTGGTAAATTTTACTCACCAGAGGTTTTTTCACTTTGACTTTACATTAGAAAAAAATGTTAGAAAGTGAAGAGTGTTTGAATTTATTTAGAAATGATAGAAATATTGCGAGCCACATCTATCTTTCAAAAAAGGCAAAGGGAAAAAGTGAGTTTATTTAGGGTAGACAAAAAAGAATCTGGAAAACTTTTGTGGGGGTGAAGGGAGTATTAGTGTATTATCAATGTCTTATTTCGGTTTTACTAATTGCAATGTTTGATTGATGTTTTCAAATAAATTAATTTACATATTGGTTTAAATTAAAATATAAATTTATGTGTTCAAAAAGCTGCACCAAAAGTTCTTTTAAATTAGTAGTATGCATTTTTTATATTAATTGAAAAATAAACCCAACGACAAAAAAAATTCCCTTCGTCTTTATATGGATGCCCTAGTCTATAGCATGTGCTTTGATTTTTATGCCCGAGTTGTTTGAGTAGGCATGTGTGTTTCTTCTCGTTTGTTGGTGCTAATGTGGTTTGTTTGCCCGTACTGTATTTGAGGTGGGAGGGGGTCATTGGAAACAACCTCTCTACTTCCAAGTAGGGATAAAGTGTGCATACACTCACCCTCCCCCATCCCTAACTTGTGCGGGATTCTATTGGGTGTCTTGTTGTTGCTGTTGTCTTTATATGGATATTCTGTTGCAGTTAATGAAGCTTGACTGAAGTTATTTTCAATTAAATTCATTTTAAAATACAGAATAAGTGTAAATTTTAAAGCTAAGTTTTTGTATTTCTAAAACTATATCAGAAGTTTTTATAAAACAAGAAGTGAGTTGATTATTTTATTTTGAGTTTTAACAAATGCTTGACGAAAATGAGTAAAAAAGAAGATATAATTTAACATGCCAATGATGCACATGCCATCCATTTGGTGATGTAGGGAATACTACTCCGCGGTCAGACATTTTTTTTGGATATTGTATAGAGCTCAATTAGTTGATATACAATGTGTACTCTTAGTGTTGAGGTGCCATTTTAAGCACTTGGGAGCTATTTAGTTATACTTAATTTCTATTGTTTTGATCAATTTAATATGGAGTATCATTTAATATTATTCAATTTAATTTAAACTTATATTTCAAAATAATTATCTTCCATTTTTAGACCAATCTTATTCTAGCACTATACCCTTCATTTCAAGACATAAAGAAGAGATGGACATAATGAACGACAAATATTTGTAAATATGGAAACACGCTTGCTGAAAGTATTGCTTAGGCTGGACATTGAACATAAAAAAACAAAAAGTCTGCATGACACATTAAAACATTCAAAACTTTAAGTTCAAACTCCAAGTTCCTAACAAAATAGAAGGCAAACGAATCAATAAAAGTGCAATTGCATTAGACACTTTCTGGGAAAAGAATACTAGAAAAAGATACCAAAAGGCAAAAACACAAAGATAAGAGAACACACATACTCAATCCAGTTAGTAGAAACGATATTGAACAAAAAAACTGTTAGGCGTGATATGCTTTTTTATTATCAAGGCAGAGAGGGAATTTACAACTACATAACTAAGATAAGAGAAACTAAGAAGTTGAAATCTGGAAGATAAGAAAACAAAAAGTCCAATTAGATACTAAGATTATTTGAATACTAGAATAACTAAGTACAAATAAAAAGAAAGAACATAGACTGATGTCAAAAAAATACTAAGAAACTGTAAAGAAAACAGAGTGAGGCAATCAAACCTGCAGAAGAATTAAAAGAGAAAATATGACTTGAAAACCAGAGGGAGAGGAGAAGAAACAAAGGGAATAAGATAGAGGGATTACAACATGCATGTGAACGAGAAAGAACTGTCTCTTGTGTATTCTGATTATAGATGCCAGTGTGTCTTCATGAATCGTGACTTAGGAGATAGTTTTTTTTACCTAAAATATAATACTCCCTCCGTCCCAAAATAAGGTTCCTGTTCACTGTTCACACCGGGTTAAACTATATCATCTTTCTCTACACATTTTCATTGATCGTTTGGTAAATAAAAAATCCATATCACCACTTGTTTTGTGGAAATTTTGATGTAGTTTTTAAATATACTTCCTTCGTCCCTGAGTATTTGTCCAGTTTTGACTTTTTTCAGTCAACTGTTTTCAACCTTTGAACCATAATTAAATAAAATAGATATTTTATATTAATTAGATAAAATAATATTTTGAAAGTATATCATATAATAAATCTAATATAATTATTTTTTATCATTATCAAATATCATTTTTATTTAATTTGAGATCAAAGTTTATCAATTTTCACCAAAAAAGTCAAAAGTAGACAAATACTCAGGGACAAAGGGAGTATAATTTTATTTTTTTAATTCTATACCAATTCTCAAATATATTGAATTTAAAATAACTTCAACAAAACAACATAAACTGAAACGAGAACCTTATCTTTGGCCGGAAGGAGTATTAGACATTTTCCACAAGGCACATGAAGCATTGCGCTTGGACAGAGGTGGCAGGAAGTGCTTGGCTGCGCCTTCTGAAGCAGAAACCGAAATGCTTCTATGCGGTCTGTGCCTAGTGCCTAAGCTCTCAAGCCATAGAGCAATATATCTCTGGTCTGATCTTTCCCCTCGAACTCATAGTCCCCTCGAATCTATGTTAGCAGCCTATTTTTTGTAAAACTATTCGAACTCATAGTCTCCTCGTCGAGCATTCTTATGGTCTCCAGTTAGCTAGGGACAGTACTTTTATTAATACGGCTTTTCTAAATTCTAACAAATGTGACATTGCACTTGTTAAACTGCATTTATTATGCATTGGAATTGTAAAAGATGCCTTGTCTAATGTGGAAGTTGGGTCCAAGTGAAAATAATGCATTCTTTTTAACAATTTCAAGGCATAAATGAGGTTTAAAGTTTGATCCCAGTGATTAAAAAAATGCAATTTTTACAATTCAATGGTATAATGAAGTTAGCAAGTGCGATGTTGCACCCATTAGAAATATTGTTATCAATATGCTTCTCAATTTTTAGTGTATGCAGTCATTACATTACTCACATGGTTCTGTTGATGATTGGATATCTTACGTTTTGATGCTATCATTTATTTTGATGTTTTTATTAATTAGCATTTACATAATTCTTACCCACTACTGTTCAAAGATTCTGATTCCTCCACCACAATTAATCTTTAATAGGCATCTCGTGATGTGGACAAGCGTTTTGGAGTTGCCAAGGAATCAAATGAATCGACCACCAAGGCTTGGCTAGAGAAGATGAAAACTTTATTTATCAGAAAGGGGTCTGGTTTCTCATCTCGCAGTGTGATTACTGGTGATCCATATAAGGGAGTAAATGAAATAGGATTACCTTTTGAGATTGCCCAACGAATCACCTTCGAAGAAAGGGTAAGTTTGCACAATGTGGCGTTCCTGCAGAAGCTGGTTGATGAAAAACTTTGTTTGACCTACAGAGATGGATCATCAACATATTCTCTTAGGGAAGGATCCAAAGGTCACACATTTTTGAAACCTGGACAACTTGTTCACAGGAGAATTATGGATGGGGATATTGTGTTCATCAACAGGCCACCAACTACACACAAGCACTCCTTGCAAGCTTTGTCAGTATATGTACATGATGATCACACGGTCAAGATCAACCCATTGATTTGTGGACCATTAAGTGCTGACTTTGATGGTGATTGCATCCACCTCTTTTACCCTCAGTCCCTTTCTGCCAAAGCAGAGGTTTTGGAGCTCTTCTCTGTAGATAAACAGCTATTGAGTTCGCATACTGGTAATTTCAATTTACAGATGAGCAGTGACTCATTACTGGCATTCAAGCTATTATTTGAAAATTACTTTCTGAAGAAAGCTAGTGCCCAGCAATTGGCCATGTTTCTCCCGAACAGCTTACCTATGCCTGCTCTTGTTAAGTCCCATCTTTCTGCACCTCAATGGACAATCTTGCAGATTCTGGAGACGGCTTTGCCGAGATGTTTTGACTGTTTAGGAGATAGATACATGGTTAACAAAAGCGAGTTTGTAAGAATCGACTATAGCAGGGATACAATGTCATCAATCCTCAATGATATTGTTTCTTCAATTTATTTTGGAAAGGGTCCCAAAGAAGTTATCCTATTCTTTAATGCACTGCAACCTTTGTTGATGGAGTATCTGTACACACAAGGTTTTAGTATCGGTCTTGGAGACTTTTTCATTTCCAAAAGTGCTAGAGAAAAGATCCGAACAAATATTCAGGGTGTCTCACAGTTGCTGTTTAGTTTGCGCTCATCCTTCAACGCATCTGTGGAGCTACAATTGGACCATTTCCTGAAGGTCGAGAAAACACCAGTCACAACTTTTGCTCTACATTCATCTGCGATAGGTCATTTAATTGACCCCAAGAGTGAGTCTGCTCTGAACAAAGTAGTGCAACAGGTTGGGTTTTTAGGGTTGCAGATATCAGACAGAGGGAAGTTCTATACAAACACGCTTGTGAATGACGTGGCTCTCCTTTTCCAAAACAAGCATCCATCTGTGCATTGTCACCCTTCAGAGGAATTTGGTATGGTTAGTAACAGCCTATTTAATGGTTTGAATCCGTATCAGGAGATGGTACACTCGATATCTAGCAGGGAAGTGATTGTACGATCAACACGAGGTTTGACTGAACCCGGAACATTGTTCAAAAATTTGATGGCAATCCTCCGAGATGTTGTTATTTGTTATGATGGGACTGTAAGAAACATATGTAGCAATTCCATCATACAGTTCGAGTATGGTGTGCACAATGAAAGCAAGTTTCAGAGTGAATTTGGCGCCGGTGATCCTGTTGGGGTATTGGCTGCAACTGCTATGTCAAATCCGGCATACAAGGCAGTCCTTGATTCATCTCCTAGCAGTTATTCTTCATGGGAAATGATGAAGGTATTCTCGTAGGAAATATGATGATTTGAGTACATTGATTTTTTCTCACTGCCATGTTTTATTTTTATACAATTCAGGAAATTTTGCTTTGTGGAGTAAATTTCAAGAATGTTGTAGCTGACCGCCGTGTAATACTTTATCTAAATGACTGTGAGTGCGGAAGGAAATATTGCCGAGAAAAAGCAGCCTACGTATTGAAAAATCATTTGAGAAAAGTCAGTTTGAAGGATGTTGCTGATGAATTCCTGATTGAGTATGCATCCTATATCATTTTTTAGTATCATTCACACATTTAAAATATTTTTCTAAATCTTGTGCCGTAAGATTTAGTTTGTTTCTGGTTCGTCACTCATCTCAATCATGCATAAAAATGGCTGTTTCATTATTATTATTATCATCATCTTCTTCACCCCCACCACCACCATGTTGTTGTTGTTATTACTATTATTATCATTACTATTAGTATTAGTATTACTATTGCTATTATTGTTATTATTATTTTTATAATAAGTATTATTATTATTATTATTATTATTATTCTAAGTATTATTATTAGTAATGCTTTTGTTGTTGTTGTTGTTGTAAGTATTATTGTTGTTGTTGTAAGTATTATTATTGTTAATGCTTTTGCATGACATTTGCCATGCAACAATATTTTTTTCCTTTGTTAACTAGTTTTTGAGATAAATCTCTTGAAAAGAATCAATGCATTAACATTCTTATCATCTTAAAAATGATTGTTGCCTCTTTCTTACAGATATGCAAGACCACAATCTGAACATCAAATTTCTGGAGATGTTTTCCTTGTTGGCCACATTCATCTGAACAAGGTTTGATGCTATTATGTGATTATTGCAATTGTTTGGACCCCCCTCCCACCCACCTATCATTTCACATCCTTGTGTATCTTTGGCTTTATCAGATGCAGATTGAAAGTCTGAGTGCTGATCTCAACGAGATTCTTGAAAAATGCGAGAAGAAAATTCATTCCTGGAAGAAGAAGAAAAATATTGGCATTCTTTTCAAACAAATCAATTTATCAGTCAGGTTGATTTTTACTCTTAGAAATGTAAAGTCCTTTTATTGTATTTTTACATGTGATATCATAATCTTGCCAACTTTTAATTTTTTTATTCGTAAATATGTTTAATTTATTGTTCTGTTGGTATCTTAGTATCTTACTGGTATGTTATCATAGACCTTACATCAGTCCAAACAAAAAGGGTATTTTGGAAAGAAGATAACAAACTGCAAATGACATACTAATCCCAATAAAGTTCTGGAAGTTTTCATTCCAGTATAACCACATTTGAACACACAGGGATCAAGTGCTATTCATGATGTTTCTTCTCAGTTTTCTTAAAGTTTTTTTTGGAGATATCTGATGCCCAATGTCAAATAGATTGATTGATTTTCAGCTTAATTTTGTGTGATGCCCAATACTAGTTGCAGGTTTTGGTATATGCCAGATTTCTTCTGTTAATTATCAATAATTTACAGAGTCTTGGTGTTTTCTTCTACATTATATGATATTAGTCATGCATTTTGATCCACAGTGCTGTAAAATGATTCAGGGGTTACCTAATTTTGTTATGCACCATACTACGTATAGGTCTTCGTATTTGACAAATTTGATCTTTTAATTTCAAGAAACTATTAATTGCCTTGATTTCTTCTTCGAGTATTGTTTCATTACTTGCGTAGTGGGGTAAAAGTTTGAGCTGGGGGTCTCTTGGAAATAGCCTCTACTTTCGGGTAGGGGCAAGGTGTGCGCACACACACTCTCCCCAGGCCCTACTTTCGTGGGATCCAACCGGGTTGTTGTTCGCTAAGTGAGGTAAAATGCTTTAGAGGTACATTTGCAAACTTACAAAGTTTTGCTCTTTCACAGTGCATGTTGTTCTTTTGGTGATGGCAAATGTAAATCAGGGGATTTGCCATGCGTGCGGCTCTCTTGGCGGGGCGATGATGTTCACTTAGAGACAATATCTCATTTTCTTGCAGACATAATTTGCCCAGTTGTGTTGGAAACAATTGTAAAAGGTACAACGTATAAGTTATGCTTTTGTTTTGTTTTTTCTTTTAATAACCGTCGCTGCTTCATTATAGTTGATGATATTTACACCGGTTTGGCTATTGTTTGTGTCCCTATATCCTCACAAGGTTGCTATATGTTCAAGTATTTAACACTAGCAAAATTTTGCTGATGCCATTAACATGAATGGATCCATTTAGTTTCAGATGATAGTCATGATACACATCTCTCCTTTCCTTTAGATTGTTACCTGAATACCTGTTGGATGTTTCCTCTACTTCTCATTTAGACAGATGTGATCTTGGAACTGCTGGATAGCAGAACTAAATGACATAGTACACTTGTATTTCATAGGTGATCATAGGGTCTCTTCTGCTAGTATAATCTGGAGTAGTCCTCAGACAATGACTTGGATTAAAGGCTCTAGCAAGAATCAACCGGGTGAATCGGCTCTAGAAGTTGTTCTTGAGAAGGAAGCTGTTAAACAAAGCGGAGATGCTTGGAGGATTGTCATGGACTCATGTGTACGTTATATCCATCTTATTGACACTAGACGTTCTATACCTTATGCTATCAAACAAGTGCAAGAGTTGCTTGGGATTTCTTGTGCTTTTGAGCAAGCTGTTCAGGTAATAACCGGGTAACCAAATTTGTTTTGTATAGTTATTATATCTGGCACGATGCATGTTGGTTTAGAAAAGTGGTAAAGCTTTATATGGATTAAACTTTTATGCCTCCTGTGATGTTATTATCATCCTTTGGCATCTCTTACCATTTTGTATTGATTAATCATAAATGGTGCAATTTTTCTGTCATACCTCGAGCTTCTTTTAGACTTATACCGTCCAAACGTCAAACAAATCTAAGTGTGCACCAGTGTAGAAGTTCCCACCATTGTGGGGCTTAGGACGAGAGTTTTCAGGTAGCTTTGCTTCTTTATTTGCAAAGAGAATTTAATGTAACCCATGATCTGAAGGACACAATGTAGAGAGGCTACCATTGCACCATGACCAGCCCTCAAGAATATATATTATTGCTGAGGAACATATCATTAATACTTTGTAATTCTTTTGGATTCCTGGTGTTTTATGGCAGTTGTGTGAATTATTTTGAATGAAAATCTTCTGTAATGGGATTTTTTTGCAGCGGCTGTCGAGATCTGTGACAATGGTTACAAAAGGAGTTCTGAAAGACCATCTACTTCTATTGGCTAATAGCATGACATGTGCTGGAAATTTAGTTGGCTTCAATGCTGGTGGAATAAAAGCATTGTCGCGTTCATTGAATGTCCAAATACCTTTTGCTGAAGCCACATTGTTTGTAAGGACATTTCTTGCTGATATGGTCATCTGTAACTTCTTGGGAATAGCTTATCATTAGTGTTTCATTCAACCCAATTAACATTGTCTCGTTATTTCTTCCAGACACCACGGAAATGTTTTGAAAGGGCTGCTGAAAAGTGCCATTTTGATTCATTAGCTAGTGTTGTGGCATCTTGTTCATGGGGTAAACATGTAGCTGTGGGTACTGGGTCTTCTTTTGATATTCTTCTTGATACTAGGAAGGTAAATGCCAGAGATGTTTTCTATTATATTTCAAATTTAAGAATTTTGATGTTCAATTAATACAAAGTTGCTTCTCTTTTGCTAGGTTGAGTTAACCCAACAAGAAGGTCAAAATGTCTATGATTTCCTCCTCCTGATGAGAAGCAGTCATGATCGTAGAGAAAAGGGTACTGACTGTCTAGGTGCAGATATTGATGATCTGATGCCTGAAGATGCAGATTTAGACTTGTACTTATCACCAGAAAGAGATTCAGAGTCAGTGAAACCTACATTTGAAGATGCAATTGATGATATGATCAATGAGAATGTGGCTCAACAAGGTGGTGGTGGTTGGGAGAAGGCTTCGAATGACACCTCTGGAATGGGTGGCGGTGGGTGGGACCCTGTTGAGAAAAACTCAACGAAGACAACCGATCAATCAGACTCTTGGTCCTCCTGGGGTGGTAAAAAGATGGAGGAGACCGGGAAAGACAGCGTCCAAGGTGGAGATCCTGGTTGGGGTAAAACAGATGGTGCTGGTGGGTGGGACCCTGTTGAGAAAAACTCAAAGGCAGCCACAGATCAATCAGACTCCTGGTCCTCCTGGGGTGCTGCTAAAAAATTGGAAAGTGACTGTTCTCTTGTACAACCTGCTTCTAATGACTCCTGGGGAAAGGCTTCTAAGATATCAGAATCTGATCAAGTCCTTGATCGGTCAACAACAAAAACTTCTTGGGGGAGAGATTCTGATGAAGCATCTGAGAAAGGCCATGGTCAACCTTGGGGTAGTCATAAGAAGCCTGATAAACAAGCTTCATGGGGAAATGCTGTCAAAGATGATGTTAGACCGGAACTGTCAAGTTTAGGGGACTGGAACCAAACCACCGATGGGAAATCGTCAACCTCTAGTGGTGGTTGGAATAAAAAGCCAGAATCTAATAAAGGCCTCGATCAGTCTGGATCTTCCTGGGGGAAAAAGACTGATGAATCGGATACCTCTGCTTGGGGAAAAAGTGCCAAAGAAGATAGTGGTGGGCAAAAGCGAGGAGGAGAATGGTCTGCATGGCAAAAAGGGACCACAGAGTCACCTACAGGTGCAGAAACAGCACAAGGTAATAATAACACTTCTTCAGGGTGGGGTAATACTAGTTCTAAGTCTCCAGCAGAAGGTAGCTGGAGTACAAAAAGCACGCCGGATGGACAGAAGAATGAAATAGGTGGTAGTTGGGGTTCCTCTAAAGGTGGCTCCGATTGGACCCCACATAAAAAAGAGTCTCCTGTCAATGACTCAACCGGCGGTTGGGCTTCCTCTAAGGGTGGTGGTGCTAATTGGGCATCCCAGAAAAGAGAGTCCCGGATGAATGACTCATCCAGTAATTGGGGCTCTTCTAAGGGTGGTGGTGCTTCTTCTGAGTGGGCCACACAAAAAAGAGAGTCTTCGATCAATGATTCAGCTGGTGGGTGGGGCGCTTCTAAAGGTGTAGGTGGTGCTGGTTGGACCTCACAGAAAAGAGAGTCTTCGGCCAATGACTCTGCTGTTGGGTGGGGTGCTTCTAAAGCTGGTGGTGCTGCTGATTGGGGCTCACAGAAAAGTGAGTCTTTGGTCAATGACACAACTGGTGGGTGGGGCGCTTCTAAAGCTGGTGGTGGTGCCAATTGGGGCTCACTGAAAAGTGAGTCTTTGGTCAATGACTCAGCTGGTGGGTGGGGCACGCCTAAAGATGGTGGTGCTGATTGGTCATCACAGAAAAGAGTCTCTCCTAATGAAAAGAGTAATGACTCAGCTGGTAGTGGTTGGGGTTCTCCAAATGCAAGCAATAATGGTGATGGTGCAAAATCTCAATGGGGTTCAAAGAGTACAGTAAAAGTGGATGCCAGTGACAGCTCAAGAGGTTGGGGTTCTTCAACGAAGGGTAATGGTGGTGACTGGGGGGCTAGTGCTGTACCCAAGTCTCCGGCAGCAGATGAACGTGGGAACACATCAGATGTTGGTGGTTGGGGAACTCCAAAGGCTCTTAACAGTGATGAGGGTAATGGGCAATCTCAATGGGCCCCACGCAAGGGAGATGGGTCTCCGGCCAATAATAATGCATGGACTTCCACAGCCGGGTCAGATGACAATGGGAATGATACGGCTGGTGGTGGTTGGGGCTCCCCAAATGTTGGTAACAATGATGAGGGTAGCGGACAATCTAAATGGGTCCCACGCAGGAGGAATAGAGATGACAACAATGAAAGCCCGCGAGGATGGGGAGCTGCCCCAGGTAGTGGAGGAGGTGATTGGAAGAATAAGAGAAGCCGTCCCCCAAGGCCAGCTGATGATTCCAGTGCCGGCGTGGCCTTCACCGCCACGAGGCAGAGGCTGGATAAATTTACAGCAGAGGAGCAAGAGATTGTCCTTGAGCTTGACCCTATCATGCAAAACATCAGAAGGATAATGCAATCAGGGTAACTTCCCTAACTGTGCCTTTCAACTAAGTCTTGAATACGATCTTTCTACGTATGATGCTATTTTGTTGCTAAAAATGGAAAGTGAGATGATTATCCCGTACTAACCTGTTTTGCTTTTGTTTGTTCGTTTGTTTGTTTGTTTGTTGGGATTATAGGTTGAATGACGGTGATCCTTTATCTGCTGATGACCAGACATACATTGTTAACAATGTTGTTGAATACCACCCAGATAAAGATGCAAAAATTGGGTCTGGAGTTGACCACCTTATGGTATGCTGCTTGTTGACTTGTTTGTTTGACAGTGGACTCAAATCAGTCAATCAATTGAACTTTATTTACACTGCAGTAAAAGGGGTTTATATGTTCCTAACCCATATCATTTTTTTTAACTAACATGCAGAATATGTTTAGACTCTGTTAATGTGGTAAATGACATTCTCTTTTTGATGGCCTGAATTTTACAGATTAGCAAGCACGTCAACTTCCAGGACACTAGGTGCTTCTACGTGGTGTCAACCGATGGTTCTAAGCAAGATTTCTCCTACCGTAAATGCCTTGAGAACTTTGTGAAGGCCAAGCATCCGGATAAAGCCGAGTCGTTCAACCAGAAGTATTTTTACCTAAAAAGGCCCCCTCCCCTGCCTCGACACCCCGGTTGGAATAATCAAGAACCAAGTGGTGGGGCTACCACCCCAATGGCTGGGACTGAACAAGAACCCAAACAACAAGAAGAAAGTGGAGATCCCAAACAACAACAAGAACCTACAGGCGAGGCATCGACTGAAGAAGAGTCTACCATGCCAGTTGAGGAGTCTTGAACACATGTTTTCCCCTTTAGGTAGTTTTTTTGACTTAATGTTAATCGTGTGCGGTAATATAGAATTAGCCCTTCTTTTTTCTTTTCTTTGTATCTTGGGGGATGAGAGATAGTCTCTGTACAGTCTTGTTTTTCTTTTTTTTTTTTGGTAGGGTGGTTGTTCAAACTCTAGTATTAAGAATGAACTGCCTTAGAATGAAAGTGTATCTTTTATTCAGGTGATGAAAGCAAATGATATGCCTTGTTATAGTTTTCACCAAAATATTATTGCTAGAATTTTGACCATTATGATGAAAGGTGAAAATAATATTAACTTTTTTATTATGATGAGGAGAGATTGCAGCTTGTGTGTTTGTTGTATGGAGTTCTAAGTCTATCTCCCACTTTCCTTGTCATTAGACCAAACCATGTAGTGTTGTGATTTTTATTGTTTACTACTCACTCCTTTTGCAGTTCAATTTATTTGAAAATGAGTGTAATTTAAAAATAAACTTTACTCGTATGTATTTAAAAAACAATATAAAAAGTTGAATTACACTCCTCAAGAAGAAGGGTTAATGTTATGAACTTTTTAAAAAACAATATAAAAAATTGAATCAAAACTGGACAAATATTCATAGACGCAGTATATATATAAAAATATATACATTTAAAACACTAAAAAAAGTTCTACGAATCAAGAGATAATATAACTACATTATTTTATTAAATGTTGTTGTAAAAATAGGTAAAAAAAATGATAAAAGTTTAACTATATGAATAATGAACAATAAACTTAAATTGAAATGAGGAAGTATTCCTTTCATTCTATATTAAATGTCTGAGATGAGGAAGTACAATAAAAAAAATAAACCAATGAAGACATACTTTTATGTTTTCATTCATTGAATTGTTTAATGTAACAAGATATTTATAATAGACAATCAATATGAACTGAAAGGAGTAATTGTGATCATACTAATCTTGACTTTATAATTATAGAGTAGTCGGTACTTTGTATAATTTTGCAGTGACCTGTCCTTATGCATTTTACTAATAGGATGTTCCTAACTGGATATAGATAATAACCATTATAAACAGTTGCATATATATTCTGTATAAACAATTACAAATTTGGACAATAGTTCTATTTTTGATTATTCATTTACACCCATAGACACAGAATGATTTTAGTCGTGAAACCAACCCATTTGAATAATAACGGGACCATATGAGTTTTAAAAAATACTGGGCTATCACACACCTTGCTCTTCCATAAAAAATACATCCCTCTCATAAAAATGCATCTATTTTGACTTCAAAGAGATTAACAAAAATATTGGAAGTGAAAAATGAGTAACAATGCTTTGAGTGCTTTGGTGGACCTAAAGGTCTATATTATTTTTTGTACCTATTTTCACATCAAAAGTAGTTTTGTTTTTGTTTTTATTTTTGCAAAAAATAAAACATCCATTAGAGTAGTTAATACTCATATGCTTATCACCCTCGCTTATAAGTCTATGAAAATTATGAACCTTTGATCTACCATAGTATTACCAGAAGGTTTTTGGACACATCATCTTTAAAAAAACAAAAAAAAATAAAATATAAAAGAAATATTTTGAAACGAATAAAAAAGAAAAACGATATTACGTAAAAGTTTTATATCACCAAAGGAAATATAACAGACATTAACATTTCTTATATTCAGGTAGTTATTTTTTCCCAAGGAATTTGAAGAAATAGTTAGAACACCTCCATTAGTGACATTCCACTAACATATAATACTACCTCCGTCCCTGTGTATTTGTCTACTTTCAATTTTTTCAGTCAACTGTTTTCAACCTTTGACGCATAATTAAATAAAATTCATATTGTACATGAATTAGATAAAATAATATTTTGAAAATATTTCGTAGTATAAATCTAAGAAAACTATTTTTATATCAATATTTAATATCATTTTTATTTAATTTGCGGTCAAAATTTATTAATTTTGACTGAAAAAAGTTGAAAGTGGATAAATACGTAGGGACGGAGACAGTAACATGGACGAATTGTTTGAAGGAGCTTAATTGTCATCCATGTTGACAAATGATCTCATCCTCTAAGTTTTTAATACATTTTCTATGGTTATATTAACCAAATATTTTTCACTTTCCTTATTTTACGTAAAAAATAAAAATCAAACTAAAAACTTTAAGTTGGAACCTAGGGAGTTTTTTTATCAAGTATAATAAATAATTAATAATAACTTATTTTGTATGTTTTAAAACTGTTCTAACTTTCTTCTCTAATTTAGTAATTTGATTATTTTAAATTTAAGTTCATATAAATTTAAATATATTTTTTAATATTTATTATAATATTTTTATTTATGAATTATATTATACATAATAGATAATAGAATATGTAGTACGGAGTATAAGAAATTTAAAATTATAAATAAAAAAGAGTACAAGTGAGGCACATGAATAATTAATTGGACAATGGATGGATGAAATGATTGTGAATATTTGTTCTAAAAAAATGATGTATTTAAAGATAGAAGATGTGGATATGATGTTTATTTTAATAATTTATGTGGGAGGATGATAGAATGAATGAAATAAATTTTAATCCAAGAAATGTGAATGCTCTTAATACTTAATAGAAATAAAATTGAAAAAATTATCAAGATTTGTCTTACCTTTATCCGGTCTTTTAAAACTAATCTCACATTGAATTGTAATGTGCGTGTTTTGAATCGCCGTTAAGCGATTAATGACTTGTTACCAGAAATGATCTGTTTTGCATAATAAAATAAAGGCCAAATAGCTTCGGTGCCCCTTGTGGTTTGAAAAATTGGCACCAATACCCCCTCTATTTTCAAAACTTACTTCTAAAGTCCCCGTGGTTTCAAAATGCTGCACCCGTGCCCCCTCTGATCATTTTCCGGCCATTTTCCAGCAAAGAGGGGGCATTTGCGCATAATTTTTAAACCATAGGGGGCATTCGTGCTCATTTTTTATTTTTCGTTTATTATTTGTGTTTTCCTTTTTTTTAAATATTTTCAATTTTTTATAATGTTTTAAAATTTTTAAAATTTTTTATGTTTGAAATAAAAATAAAAATAAAAATAAAAATAAAAAAATTAACATACATTGCATCTATTTGAAATTAAACATTTTCACTTTTGTTACGTACTTATTTGAAAAGTTCAAAAAGAAAAACCTAGAATAAAAAAATAAAAATATGGAAAAATAAAATGAAAAATAAAAATACATAAAAAAAGTCTGATACAAAAAATTTGACAAACCTAAAAAAGTCCTTAGAATTGAGATGTTCGAAAAAAATATTCATTTTATTTTTGTATTACTTTGTTTCTTATTTTATTCCTCATTTTTTTGAAATTCTCAAGAAAAGTTTACTTTTTTCAGAAAAAATAAAAATTGTTGAATATAGAAGTACATATACATTATATGTTAATTTTTTCAAACAAAAATAACTTTAAATTTTATGAACATTATAAAAATAATTTAAAAAAAACCTTTATTAATAAAAGAAACAAGTAAAGAAAAAAATGGAAAAAAACAAAAAAATAAGCGAGAAATAAATATCAGCACCGATACCCCCTGTGGTTTAGTAAATATGCACCAATGCCCCCCTTCTTCGCCGGAAAAATGGCCAGAAAATGATCAGAGGGGGCACGGGTGCAGCATTTTGAAACCACAAGGATTTTAGAAATAAGTTTTGAAAACAGAGGGGGTTTTGGTGCCTATTTTGCAAACCACGGGGGTACTAGCGCTATTTGGCCATAAAATAAAAGCATAGTTTTTTTTTCATAAATTTTTGTCTTAAAATTTTTAAAATAACTTTCTACCTTCTTTAAATTTTTCTGTCTTAAAAGAAGACAAGAAGTAAAGAACGAGTAAATGTATGACAATTCTGGATAACTGTCAACGTTTTCTTTCAATGGTTTTACCGACTTCCCCTAAGTTTTAACGGTGCCAAGATTCGAAACGATCAGTTCAACGTCACCACTGTGGCGTCCTTTGGCCTTTTTTTGCTCATTCTGTTGTCCTCTCCAGTGTATACTTTATACTCTCTCATAATCCCATTCTCAATTCCATATATTCACCTAAATTATTCCCCACTCAAGCAAACTGGTCCACTCTCTATCATCCTTCATCGAATCCTTAGAAAAAAGGGAATGTCTTTGGTACTGAGTCAAATGGGTGTCCCCCCAAATCAGAGTGGCTATAAGCCCTGGGAAGATCCTTCCTTTTTCAGGTGGAGAAAGAGAGACGCTCATGTCCCACTCCGATCCCATCAATCTGTTGAAAGTACACTTTTTTTCTTTCTTTCTTTATTTGAATTCCCAGACTTTTGTTTCTATGAATATTGCTCTGATGATGATGATCAAATGGAACAGTACCCCTTCAAAAATGATGAATTTCAAGATTGATGGAATTCATAATTTTCTTGGGCGATTTGAGTCCACTGGACCATTGCATGGTTGGATCGATTCCAAAATTGAAACTTTAAAAGCTTTTCATGTTCTTGCTTTGTAGGGTCACTCAAGTACTGGGTTGAACGCAACAATGTGGATTTTCTTGCTGCGAATTCTGCGGTATGGGACGACAGGGCTGTTCTGGAGGCTCTTGATTGTGCTGCCCGGTGGGTAGAAGGTTTGCCTTTTGTCAAGTCATTGTCTGGGTATTGGAAATTTTCCCTGGCTCCCAGTCCTTCAAGTGTTCCTCCAGAATTTTACGGTTGCTCTTTTCAGGACTCTGAATGGAACAAGATTCCAGGTAGATAATCCGCCCTGCCCGCCTTTGTGTCATCTTGAAAAGTGATTACTGTTTTCATGATGTTTGCATGAATTTGCAGTGTGAAGTAGTTTATATTGTGGAAAGAGTGTAAAGACTGTTCTTTTTTGCATTTATTTGAACCATTAGTTACTACTCTTTTCTAATTCAAGTAGTTCTTTCTTTGAATTTTTTGTAGTGCCTTCCAATTGGCAGTGTCATGGATATGACAGGCCAATTTATACAAACACTAAATATCCATTTCATTTTGATCCACCCAAAGTTCCTGATGAGAATCCCACTGGCTGCTACAGGACTATGTTCTTCCTTCCTAAAGAGTGGGAAGGTGAGAATTTTTGGATTTGATATTTCTTTGAATCCCAGTTCTGGTCACTTGTGTTTCTACATATTCACGAGTGATTTCAATAAATGTGCTCTATTTATGCGTGGCTTGTCACATGTGTAATTGTCATTGAATCATTGCGAATCTCCCCAACATTGTCAACCTTGTTCTGTACAGGGTGCAGGATATTTCTACATTTTGAAGGTGTAGATTCAGCCTTCTATACATGGGTAAATGGGGTTCCCGTTGGATATAGGTTGGTCAATATCTTCTTATTGTTCTCTCTTTCACACACACAAACACACACATATTGCGTTGGATTTCTTTTCGTCCGCCATAGAATTTCTTGCTTTATTCTCAATAACAAACTGTATTTTCTCGAATAAAACATATCAGCCAGGATAGCAGACTGCCAGCTGAATTTGAGATAACCGATTTTTGTCAACCATGTGGATCTGATAACTGCAATTGTCTAGCTGTTCAAGTAATGCGGTGGAGTGATGGTACATACCTTGAAGATCAAGACCACTGGTGGCTTTCTGGCATTCACCGGGATGTTCTTCTTCTAGCAAAGCCAAAGGTGAGTTGCTGTGATCTTGTAAAATCTTATTCTTGAAACAGTAAATGTTACTGTTCCATGCAGAGTATTATGAAGCATTGTTAGTACTGGCAAACATGGGGGTGGTTTAATACTCCGTATTAAAATAAGGCTTTTAAGGCTATAAAAAAAGAGTAATATAATACGTTTTGCTACTTGTATTCTCCAATAAGGCTAGTGGGATCTCAGCATTGCTAACAGTCTAACACTGGACTCTATCATTTGCAGATATTTATTGCTGATTATTATTTTAAATCAAATTTGGCACAAGATTATTCTTATGCAGATATAGAGGTAAGAATTGTGTGTTTGCTATTAATTACTTTGGTGTTTATGTTTATTTGGTCCCATTTTGTTTGTTTGTTTTGATTGTGCTCTTTAAGTACTGTAATTATTTATGATGTATTTTGAGATGGATAATTTAAACTTTGGCGCTGAACGAATTCTTGGGAATTGGGGTAATGCATTTTCTTGACCATTTACTGTTCTATTTCATCATGCATACCTTTTTTGACAAAAGTCGCCTATATTGTTTTAATTCCAAACTTTTCCTTTTTAATATGTTTGGTGACTAATCGTTTCTGTTTTTGCTCAATGGACAGGTTGAAGTGGAAATTGATAACTCACATGAGCATTTAACTCTTTCTGAGTTCACTGTTGAAGCTTCAATATATGAAAATGGAAGCTTGTACAATAAAGATGGAGGTGTCATTAGTGATCTGCTTTCTGCAGATGCAACTCATTTGCAGTTCATTTCTAAGTTCGACAATTGTTTGGGATTTAAAGGGCATTCACTAGTGGGAAAATTACAATCACCTGCGCTCTGGTCTGCAGAACAGGTAAGATACTACTAAAATCTAGGTTTTTTCCTCTCACTAAATATTGCGAGTTCCTCAGTTGATTGAATTATCTTCCTGTTAAGATCATTGTGTGTGTTTGTTGATCATTTTTATTTATTTTTGCTTGACAGCCCAATTTGTATACTCTTGTTATCACTATTAAAGATGCTTCCGGACATGTGGTTGACTGTGAATCATGTCAAGTTGGCATTCGACAAATATCTAAAGCCCCAAAACAGCTCCTTGTTAATGGGCAGCCAGTAGTTATAAGAGGAGTAAACAGGCATGAACACCATCCAAGAATTGGAAAGACTAACTTGGAATCCTGTATGGTTAAGGTAACAAATTGCATCCTTTTTTTAATTTATATCTTTGATGCATTGTTTTTTAAAGGTCTTATGATTTTTTTTATAGGATTTGGTTTTAATGAAACAAAACAACATTAATGCTGTTAGAAACAGCCACTATCCTCAACACCCGCGATGGTATGAGTTGTGTGATCTGTTTGGCATGTACATGATTGATGAAGCCAATATTGAGACACATGGGTATATGGATCAGCCAAAACACAAGCACCCGGCTCTCCAATCATCTTGGGCTGCATCTATGATGGATCGTGTTGTGGGCATGGTGGAGAGGGATAAGAATCATGCTTGCATTATTGCATGGTCCCTTGGGAACGAATCAAGCTATGGACCTAATCATGCTGCAATGGCTGGTATATGCTTTTCTGAGATGTGTTTTGACTTGTACTAACAAGACTCCATTTGATTTCAAGAAAATAATGGTCTCTCGGAGAATGAGTTGTTCTCTGTATAACATTCCCCATAAAAGTCTTGTTCCATACTTCCATAAACGTATTTTGTCCAAGCATCATATAAAATGAATCATTTTCATGTAATTTATCAATTGAAAGTTACAAACATGTTTAATATGAGATATTTAGTTAAACAAAATAAAGATTTTATAAACAAAAAGAAGGATTATAATACTTTTAGAAGTTAAATGCCACTGAAATTTAAGAGCTGTACTTTGACCAAACATGACTCTTTTTGGGACGGAGGGAGTATATAACACAAAAACAGAATGTATAGAACTGTTTAGGGAAAATGTTTCTGGTTCCAAGCACAAGAAAGTCCAGAAAATTTATCCTCACAAAGAATTATGATATGTGGCTTTTGTGTTTCCTAACCAACAAGTAATTAGCAGCTCTCTGGTATTATATTGTACAACAGGATGGGTACGAGAAAAGGATCCATCAAGATTAGTACACTATGAAGGTGGTGGGTCTAGGACGTCATCTACAGACATTGTCTGCCCAATGTATGCTCGTGTCTCGAATATAGTTGAGATAGCCAATGATCCAACTGAGTACCGCCCAGTAATACTATGCGAGTGTGTTTCTATCACTACCCAACTATTATGTTTTAGCATCTGTTATTCTGTTCTTGTTTTCAAACTACTGTAATAACACATTCCTTTCTGGGAAATCAGATATTCACATGCAATGGGTAACAGCAATGGGAATCTCCATGAATACTGGGAAGCTATTGATAGTACATTTGGTCTTCAAGGAGGCTTTATTTGGGATTGGGTTGATCAGGTGGTTTTACTTCTTCTACTATCTGAATTTTATCACATGCTTTTAGGTCTTTTAGAATTAGAATATATCTAAATGCCAAACGATCAATGAAATAGGAGAGTGTTGCTTAGATGTGTAATGCATCTCCTGCTTGTAATCTTTGAAAAAATTCATCATTTAAATATATTTGTTGGTTTAACTAATCATACAATGTGTTACTTACAAGTGAGTTTTTTTGACCAATTACATGAAGAAGTGATTCAAGACTTATTATGTGACGGATGTAGTAGTATTTTTGGTACTCCTGCCATCCCAAAATATACTTCCTTCATCCCTTAAAAAAATGACAGTTTGGCTCTGCAAAGTTTAAAAGTTTAAAAAAGTGTTAAAATGTGAAAAGGTGTTTCCTAAAAAGGAATGAAGTTCGATGGAGGGAGTATATGGTTTAAGCCATCTGTCTCAAAATAATTGTGCTTATAGATTTAATTCATGTTTTCCAGTACTAATCCTCAAAAAATTTCCATGTGAAGTCTTCCTACTTCAATTGCTTATGTACCTTGAAAAAAATAAACCCCATGTAGTGTTAAAACTTAAATAAGGGAATATGTTTATTTTTCAAGGACCCGTAACATGTCTTCACTTTTCTAAATCTTCGATATTCTTGGGAACGTGAAGTATTTAATTGCATTTATTGTTGAATTAATGTGTATTCAAACTCCTTACCAGGCAATGTTGAAGGAAGGCTCTAATGGTAGTAAGCACTGGGCATATGGAGGGGATTTTGGGGACATACCTAATGATTTGAACTTTTGCTTGAATGGTGTTGTATTTCCAGACCGAACTCCTCACCCCGTACTCCAAGGTGATTTGTTTTCCTAATCTTCTTTTTCATTTTCTTTTTATGATTCGATCTTCATAATCCCTACTATTGTGGGATCCAACTGGGTTGTTGTTGTTGTTGTTGTTGTTGATTCGATCTTCATAATATTTGAGTCTTGCTATGTGTACTCTCTTACCTTGAGAGTGCAATGTGAACCCCAACATATTCTGTCATGTATACAGTTGTAAATTGTAATGAAAAAAAAAAGAGAACAATGATCGCCATGCAAATGCGGCAGAATATTTTTGGAGTGCACATAGCATGCCTCTTTCGTTGTTTTTCTATGAAAGATTTTAAACTGAAGATTGTTGCAATTGGTGTTTTTCAGAGGTTAAGTTTGTCTACCGGCAAATAAAGGTTGTATCTGTTAACAATGGCATTTTTGAGGTAAAAATGTTCACTTTTGCATCACTCTAATTTTTTTTTTACCGGATTTGAATGTGGTTTTGAGTTCTACCCGGTTGGTTTCCAGATTCAAAATGGCAATTTCTTTATTACCACAAAAGACTTGGAGTTTGAATGGTTACTTCACGGCGACGGGTGTGAGCTAGGTTCAGGTACTCTTGATGTTCCTCCCATTGTGCCTCAGGGTACCCATAGAATCCAATGGGAGAACGGACCGTGGTATTCACTTTGGTCTTCATCCAGAGCTTCAGAGGTTTTCTTGACAATTACTGCAAAGATACTGCACTCTACTCGGTGGGATGATTCCGGTCACCTCATTTCTTCGACACAAATCCTCTTACCTGCCAAACTTGAACCCCTTCCTCATGTGAGTGTGGCCCTTTCAAGTTTAATAATTTCCCTTGTTACTTTTTTAAAAAATAGAATTTACCGGGATTATTATTACAGGTAATTAAAAGCATGGAGTCTAGTCTATCTGTTCACAACCTTGAGGAAACGATAAAGCTTGGCGATGATGGCTCGTGGGAGATTACCTTTAACAAAAAATTGGGTGCGATTGAGTGCTGGAAGGTAACTTTCTTTTGTAGAGAGTCCTACACTCCCCTTCTGAACTTTTTTGGACCATTTTTTTTAAAAGAAAAATGCATTATAGGCTTTCAAACAGGAATCTTTTTAATGCCAGTGGAAGTTATATACTTTGACATGTGTTTACGTTGGCAGGTTGAGGGTATTTCGGTAATGCATAGAGGAATGATTCCATGCTTTTGGAGAGCGCCTACCGATAATGACAAAGGAGGAGAGCAAAACAGTCATTTAGCAAGGTGGAAGGAAGCAAATCTTCACAGCCTGCAATTTCAAGTTGAGAACTTCTTGGTTGAAAGTGAAACTGGGAGTGTGGCGAAAATTCGAATTACATACATTGGGATTCCATCCAGTGGTGATCCGAATGGTATTATATCTGCAGCGTCATGTTTTTTGTTCAGGGTTCACATGATTTACTCGATATATGGTTCTGGAGATGTTATCCTGGAATGCAGTGTAGAGCCAAAGAGTGATCTTCCCCCTCTCCCGCGTGTTGGGGTTGAGTTCCAACTGGAGAAGTCCTTGGACCAGATCACCTGGTTTGGTAGAGGGCCATTCGAATGCTACCCGGACCGTAAATCTGCTGCCCGGGTGGGGATTTACGAACAAAATGTTGGGGATATGCACGTGCCTTATATTGTTCCCGGGGAATGCTCGGGCAGGGCAGATGTGAGATGGGTAACCTTTAAAAGCAAGGGCGGCGTTGGGATCTATGCTTCTGTTTATGGAGGCTCTCCTCCAATGCAGATGAATGCTAGCTACTATACCACTGCAGAACTTGACCGTGCCACTCGTCACGAGGATCTTGTCAAAAGTGACTTCGTCGAGGTACACCGTTGTTTTCTGATCACTCCCTGCATTCCATATTAACCGTCGATTATGACCTTCCTGATACGTTGAAACACGAATGAATGTAGACACACAGCATGTCCACATTCATTCATTCATCGATGTATCAAGAAAGTCATAAGCAACCGTTATTGGGCTTTTGAGTAGGATGTTAAAGGGTAAAACAAATGTTGTTGCAGGTGCACCTGGACCATAAGCACATGGGATTAGGAGGGGATGATAGCTGGTCACCATGTGTTCATGATCAGTATCTTCTTCCTCCTGTTCCATACTCTTTCTGCCTCAGGTTTCACCCAATCACTGCTGCAATTTCTGGCACTGATGTCTACAGATCACAGCTCTGAAGCCATTTTTTTCCAATAGTTTCCATGGACTAGAACATGGAATGTAATGAATAATGAATAATGATAAATAATTTGTTTTATAATGAAAAATAGAAGAGAAATGCATGCTTTTATGACAAATTATTGCTGATAGGAACTGGAGGCCTAAAATAAGAATGCACACCAATGTTCATGTACTTGTAAAGTCTTGTTATAGTATATGCATTCTCTCTATCATGATACTCCCTTTGTCAACAAAAAAATTGGTTGTGGAATGGTAGACTGTGTTTATTTTCAATTCAATTTATATAAAATGTGAGGTAATATTTTAAATATATATTATATATTTAAAATCTAAATCAAAAGTGATTAAAAATTTACCCTGGAGTAGTAAATTGTAAACATGAAAACTTTCCTAGGCCGGAAGGAGTATTCAGGAAACAAAATATTTATTCCATACTTGGTTGGTCCAAGTTGGGGTATCCTTATCTTTTACTCCATCTGTCTCAAATTAAGTTGTTTGTTTACTATTTACAATATCAAATTTTATTCACTTTCTTTCTTTATTTTAGTCAATAATGTCATCATTAGTTTTTTAGATCTTTTGATATACTTTTTAAATATGTAAGTATTATTTTTTAATTCTACACCATTTTTCATATAAAATAATTTTTTAAAAAAAATCAGTCAAATATCGTTAGCCGGAGAGAGCAGTATCCACATATAGCCTTTCAGCTACTTCATTACCATTGCCGGGATAGTAAAATTAATGACCAAAAAATAATGGCTCCCATTAGTACTGAATTAATTAGCCTAATCCTTTGTGCATAAGATAGATGTTTAGTGCTCCAAGAGGTAATCTTGACAGTCAACCATAACACGTCGGCCACCACCTCATCAACGAGCAATTATTAAATCATTCCAGACGTAACGTTGGAAACCACAGCTCATGTTGTGAGAAACGGGGTTGTTCTGAGAACAAAGATGGTAAATTCTATCAAGCTGGCAATAAGAATCAGTGTTGCGATTGGTTAAAATAATCAAAAGGTTAAAATGAAATGAATTGGTCGTTTATTTTACGCAATTAAATGAAAGGGGAATTATTTGAGATAAGTTCTCAATTTCAACTTTAGTTTTGTTTGAATTTTTAAATTAAGTTTTTAAAAATATAACAGTATACTTTTGTCAGAGATTTGTGTCACGGATTTGCAAAATTATAATGCATATTTGTTTGTTGTGTCGTTTTAACTTTTAACAACTGGTGGAATATGAAATTAATTTGAGAAAATCTTAAATACGCTTTTCGTCCCAAATTAAATTGCATGATCAAATTTCATTCATTTTTTTTCTTTTTTTCCGTATTCATTTGATAAAATAAAATAAACATGCACCTCTAGTTTTGTAAATCTTTTAATGTAGTATTTTAATACTCCGTATGTTTTTTTAATTTTATACCAAGTTTCATATAAAATGATTTGAAAATAATTTCAATCAAAAATCATAAACCTTAATATAAATTCGAATAGACGGAATCATAAAATTATTTGAGATAAATTTTATTTTTTTTTTGATGAACTTGTCAATTTCTTTTAAGACTCTAAGTTCTTTTTTAGTACACAACGCCACACTAGTCCACCACCACAGGCGGGGAGGAGGGTCAGAGAGAAACGGACGAGAGCCAAACTCCGCCATAGCCCGACATCGAACGCCGCCGCCAACGCCAAAGGCAGCCGATCCGCCGCGAGGCATTCAAGGTAAATCGCTACTGCTCCGCCTGCTTGCCGCCATTTTATCAATGTAAAACCTCCATCCCTCCATTTCAGTATTTTTATTCGTTGGATTTGTTTTATCAAGCTAAATACTCTTTATTTGTTTTTTAGACAATTACCGAGTATCAATTATGATTTCGTGATCTGTGGATATGTGAACTTTGAATTTGCCATTAGGTTAATTTTTCACTACGAAGGTGTAATTTATTTTTTATTAATATAATTAGTGAAGTGTTAATTGGATGCAACTTGTTGATTTTTAATACTCCGTATTATTTATATTTAAATTTCAAGGTATTTTGACATTTTGTTGCTTTAACTTTTTATATCAAACGTTTCTCTAACCAAAAATATTTTTTGTTTCTTTATCTGGATAAGAAACGTAGTGACTATGGCCCTATTTGGCATCAACATTAGAAGTTAGCGTTAACGTTTTGAAAAATCTATCTGACGGTAGCTTTTAGCGTTAGCATTTTCAGAATTAATTTACAACATTAAAATTTCATTCAAAATGCTAACGCTAATCGAAAACATTGTTCCCAAACAAGATCTATATGTCCTTATCATTGTTTCCAGTTTTTGTTTAAATTATACAAGTGCTATGTTGATTTATTGTTCTTCCTTTTCACCTAAGCAAGAGTAAATCTACTCTTGTTCATTTTATGACCCTTAATTTTAATAACATTCAACTGTTAGAATTCAACGTCTAGATTACAAATATCATTTCGTCGTTTATCTTTACATTCCAAAATACAAGTTTTCTCTCATTAGCATTGTCGTATGCCTTCCGTTTTGAACATACGCCTACATATTTTTATGTTTTGATACTTTTTTTTAAATTTATTTATAGTTATTTAAATAGATAATGACCTTTTAGAAGTTTTGGTCTTCAAAAATGGATTTTATTTGTTAGTTTGTTATTTTTCAATAAATTTAGTTTAAAGTTTTATTTAAAATGAATTTCAAAGTAAAAAATAAAATCAAAGCATTAGGTGTGAGGTGAAGGACCGGCAAATTTCCGGTCCAAAACCGATAGTGTGTTGGGTCGAAAAGGTAAAACGGGATTCATCATTTCATGAGGTGTGTGTGTATGTGTGTTTATGAATCACAATCTAAAAATAAATGAGAAAAGAAAATTTTATTTTATGAAATTTCAAGATCTCATTTATCGTCAACCAAATATTAGAATCTAGTGATTCCAACGCTTGGAAATAGATAATTAAGTTCACAGGATCATGTGAAAATTTCAGAATTTTTCATGATGTGTTGATATATTTTTTTTCAAAGGAAAAACATTTGATGTACAAATGCTTTCCTTAGAATTTCAAGACCAACTTAGGAAGTATGTAAATTGACTTAAAAAGTCAATTTCTGACCCTAATATCTTCATTATGAAGAACCCAATAAAGTTTAAAGTTTACCCGTGGTTAAGTTCTAAAACAACTTCTTAAAGAGTGTTTAGTCTATTTTTTTTTACCGCAGCATACTTGCCTCTTTAACCTTGAATTTCATGTGTCTTCTTTCCCCTCTAATTTGCTTTGTAACTGTGAATGTGTATTTGATTAAAAAGTCTTACATGGTTCCTCATTGCATCGTCAATGTTTCTCTTGGGTCACAATTTCATTATCAAATAATATTGTCCATATACCAAATGCCTGCGTGAGCATATCCTATAGCAGGTTTACATCCTCAATGCAGATTCTCCCAAGATTTCATTTTTTTAGGTTACTTTACACTATTCATTTTGGCGGTAGGATGATCCAAGTTTTGGCCTGCTTTTGTATGTACTTAGATTAGATACCTATTTAAATGGCAAATCATTCTATTGATTTCAAGGAGGATATGGAAATTTGATTCTTACATCGTTTTAGAAACCAAATTATCACAGACTTCACTAACTGCAGTGTTGCACTGTTACAAATATGATTAAGAGCATCAAATTACACCAAATTCTCATGGACTTCACCATTTCACTTATTTAAATGTTAGTTTTAGAATTTAATGCGTTATCTACCTTTTTGCATTTTATAGACTTTGGAAATTATTTCAGTTGCAAGGTACATTTTCTTCGAGAATTGTGTCTTATTGAAAAGTGATGTACTTCAACCCGGCGTGTTATCATGTAGATAATAAAATTGCGTACTTGCGGAGGAAATGAAGGGAGAATAATATGGGGCGAAATATGGGAGTGTTTTAGGAGTTCTTTTTTATTATTATATGAGAGAAAATAAGTGATTTAGGAGAGAATATGGGGGAGGTGGAAAATGGAGGAATAATAAGGGATAAATCCAGGTCAGTGTAAGAGATATACACACTCTTATCTTAACTTGGGGCTTGTTATATAAACTTATACAATATTAACCACTATTAATGCATAAATGTAGACTCCTAAGTCCTAACACGCACTTATAAGTAGCCAACTTATAAGATATTTCATTAGGAAATTAGTGGATAAACTAAGCTCGAATATGAGATATAACACACTCAAAACTCACTTAGGGTCAAGTCTAGAATTTAATTAAGAATCACACCTAATTAAATATATAGAACCTAAAACTCACACTCAAGAGAACCACTCTTTAGATATGGAATTAGGAATTTGGTCAAAATAGCTTCACAGTATTTTAAGAATTACTCAAAGAGTAAACACAATTTTTTTTTGTTCATTAAAATCTGATCTTTTATTCGGCCAAATGGCTGGGTTTGTATAGGGGAAATACATGGGTAATTTCTAGCTACTGATTACATGAAGACAACAAAGAGAAGGGTTGAAAATCAGCCCCCCTGTACACGCCACATAGCTAGGGAATAACATGGGGCTGCTCAGCTCATTAGTTGATGAATAAAAATCAGGAGAAACATGGTTGATTTGTCCCTCACATGCTTGGGTAACGTAAAAGACGGAGACATGCTTCCTTTATTAGCGGGGGTTTGATTTTTCAGCATGTTCTTCATAAGTCAAGGTTAATTATCCACATGTTTTTAATCCATTTTGGTCTGGAATTTTGTGGCTTAGGTGTAGGGAGCGTTTATAGGTGTTGACTTTATATTACGGGTTAAAATGAAGGTGAAAATGAAGGTGTAAGAAAATATTGGTACACAAAAGTCAAAGTAGATGTTTTGTGATGTTTTCTCTATTATTTTGTGAAGGGATTTCTATGAATGGTTTCTTAAAATAAAGTCAACATTTTGGTGATAAAATGGAGCAGAAAATCCGGTCATAAAGGGTGATAAAAGAAGGGAGACATCTAAGCTTGACTCTAATGATTAAATGTGATGAAAACACATGGTTTTGGCTTCTCTTCTTTTGATTTTTGGCCAGGCTTATTCTAAGACGATAAAAGCTTTATTTTGGTTTTAAAATGATGAAGGAGTTTCGGCCATGTGAAGGAACAGGCAAATGGAACACTAGGGTGGACTGGTAAACTTTAAATGATAAAAACAAAGACTAGGTCTTATTTTACTCCCTAATTTTGGAAACGGGTAAAAGGTCTGAGAGGTTTTGTTTTGGATTCAAAAACAAGATTAAAAGACTTTTGGATTTATTGGGAAAAAGTTGGTTTATGTTGGATGGTCCAAGGGTACATCAAAAAGAGAAAATAGACCAGACAAAGAACAAACTTTCAGCACACTCATCCCACTTTGATTTGTTACTGCACCAATATGTTGTGAAAGCCATGGATATATTTCTGCAGAGTGCTTCTTTGGTGGACCTAAGGTCCACACTACTTTTTGTGGACCTCCTCTTATCAAAAGCATTGTTTTTATTTTTTTTATTTTTTTTTTGCAAAAAATAAAAGCTCATTGGGGTATTAAAAGTATTTGTTTACCACCCTCATGTGTAGGTCCACAAAATTATGTGGACCTTAGGTCCAAGGTTCACCATAGCATTTACCATTTTTGCATAACGTTCCACAATCATTATTAATGTTACTATAAAAAAGTGTTATATTGTGAAGGTTATGAATAAATTTTATGCACACTGCACACATGGTGCCATGGTCCAGTATTAATTAATGCTCCACAATCATAGATGATTTTATTGTAGCACTTGGATTTGGTGTGAAATTGGCCCAAAAAACTGCATCATATATATACGGAGTAATAGATAGGATTTATGTGATTTTATTTCTGAAAATTAGGTTTCCCCCAAGTTTGGATCTAAAAATTTAAGCACTTTTCAGAGTTTATAACCTTATAAGGTTGAGCAAAAAAGCAAAGAGGAGATGAACAAGAAGGAGGTGTTGAAGCTAGCGAAGGGGTTTAGAGGGAGGGCAAAGAACTGTATAAGAATTGCAAGGGAGAGGGTGGAGAAAGCGCTTCAATACTCTTATAGAGACCGCCGCAACAAGAAGCGCGACATGCGCTCTCTTTGGATCCAGCGTATCAATGCTGGGACTCGCCAGCATGGTGTAAGCATTCTCTCCATTTATCTTTTTTCCACCCCTTGTTCTCTTCGTGTATATGCTTACTTCTCTGTTAAATCTTGTTACACTTTTCATTTGTGGGGCAGCCACGTCGTCTTTGATTCAGTGCCGCCTCACTGGGTTTCAGCTGATTATCATTTTATCGTAAATATTGTAACAAAGTGTGATCATAGAATTAACTATAGGTGTTGTGGTTTATGTGTGCCTTTCGCGTGTCGACAAAAGTGTACAACAACAACCCAGTTGGATCCCACGAAAGTAGGGTGTGGGGAGGGTGTGTTAATGCATACCTTGTCCCTACTTGAAAGTAGAGAGGCTGTTTCCAAGATACCTTCAGCTCCAGATAAAAAATCACAGATAAAACACCAAACACCTAGAGGCAAAAAACAGATGAAAGTTCTGCAATCAGATAACACCAAACATACAAAGCACACAACCACAAGTATGGAAAACTACCCCTGGCCCAAGGTGCCTACCCAACTATTCTAATCCTACCTCTCCTCTATACGGGCAAGTCCCAAGTCCAATCGGATGACCTCCTTCTAATTCTTCTTAGGTCTACCCCTTCCCCTGCTCCCCCCCAACGTAAGCCTCTTGCATCGACCTTAAAAGTGTATTTTTAACAATTTCCATGTCATTGGTGGTAATTTCTCCGCATTAGATGGCATTATTTACTGATGCTTCTTGATTAAGAGATAGATGTTGACACCACATTTTTTTTCGCTTCTACGGTGTACTCTTCGCAGGTGAATTATGGTAATTTTATGCATGGGCTGATGAAGGAAAATGTGCAGCTGAACAGAAAAGTTCTGTCTGAGATATCTATGCATGAACCCTATAGTTTCAAAGCTCTCGTCGACATCTCGCGGGCTGCTTTCCCCGGGAACAAGCCCTCCGTCGTCCCAACTCCTCTGGAAAACAAAAAGGGTCTTTCACTTCTCGTGTAACGAAAGCCGATTCTCTCTCAATTAGGGCTCTGTCTTTTACCTGCACCTTTTGTATGAATTTGTGAACATGGATTTCTTTCAAGGCTAATGAGGTTTTTGGCAGAACATGATTATTTTGATTCTTAAAACTAGTGTCGGAATTTGAATGTTGTTCTTTGGGGCAGAAACGTTCGTGTTGGTTAGACGAAAACATTAATGGTAAGAGTTATCTTTGGATTGCATTTCAGACCGCAGAGGAAATGCTAAAACTAATACGAAATGGAACCATTTTATCTTTCAAAGGCACACTTGTAATCTTGTGAGTATTTCTTTTGGATAAACTTTATCTTTTGTGTTATAAAATTACTTCCTCACTCCTGTTGGATTCTTAAGAGAGAATATTTTACAATGTTCAAAGAAAATTAAATACTCCTTCCATCTTAATTTAAGTTGTCCGTTCGTTAATCATATGATCAAATTTTAATCATTTTTTAAAACTATTTTGCTTGCTCATTTGATCAAATATTTATAGTTATGTCACATCTTGTTTCGTAGAATCTCTCATGTAGTTTTTAAAAATATATTTCGTGATTTTTATTTTTAAATTTTATACCAAGTTTTAAACAAGTTGAATTGAAAGTAATTTCATTGAAACATCGTAAATTGAAATGAATAATTTAAATTGGGACAAAGGAAATATTCTTTACTTTTTCTTTTTATCCCTAAAAGTGCAAGTAATGAGAACCTTTGTCAACCAACTATAAGCTGAAATGTAACTACATTGGCTAATCTTGCTAGTTGTGTTTGTTTTTCTCTTGGATGTAAACTTTGTCGTTTGGTGTTAAAACTTTTAGGGTTGATTTGGTACACGGAATTGACGGAATTAGAATTGGAATTGAATAAGAAGTTGAAATTCTATGGAATTGAATTCTCCAATTCCAATTTTTTTTTGGCACTACTAATTTCAAATTCACTTTTTTTTTGCTACCAAACAACAAAATTGAAATTGTTGTCTACAATTTCAACTCCATAGTTTGAATTCCGTGTACCAAACAGAGGCTAAGTACTTTTGGTTATAAAAATATACTTTGTATATATCGGGTGAGTCAAAATGGGGGATATGATAGTGAGGATGACATGACCCATGATAGAAAGGGTAAAATGGATGGTTTATCTCTTTATTTTTGCAAAAAATTAAAGTGTAAAGAATCTAATGTGACCGGAGTGAGTATATTTTTGTTGGTCACTTTTGAAAATGATACAATATTTTTTTTAATTTTGGAATACGTTTTAAAAAATATCAGTCTAAGTTCTCTCTTTTATGGATACGTAGATTTTTCTTCACATAATTTTTATATTTTTTTGCAGGGAACCCAATTTCAACTTGAAATGACATAATAATGTTTATCCTTGTCAAAAAGTTGATTATAGATTATATCTCGACCACAAAGTAGATTATCAATTATATTTCAACAACCATTAATTGTTATTGCCAAATTTCATAATATGCTCTGCTAATTGCTCCCTCAATTTCACATCCTCTTAATAGCTACTTTCTTCCATTGTTTTCTTACCTTATTAATCCCCAACATTTTTATGGTCTTTTCAGATATAAATACAAATTGTCTCCACTTAGACTAGCTATTGATCATTCTTTGCAAAAAAAAAAAAAATACTCGTATATTTTGCACTCATATATTGCTCTTGTTAGTGCTTTTTATTAGTGAGTGTGTAATCTCTTTGGGTTGAAGAAGAAGAAGTTTGTTGTATCAAGGATAGATTTCTTAAGGTGAAGTATCCCCAAGTATGTGAAACTTGTAAATCCAAATTTTTACCTTGTAATGGTTCTCCAAGCACCCTTTAAGTTTCTAAAAAGGTTTGAAACTCGTGAAATCAAATCCTTGAATTGTACAGTCTTCCAAGTATGCAGTCAAATTTGGTAAATCAGTGAAAATACCGAACAAGTTACTTCGAGACTATACTAGGCACAAAAAATTCGTGGTTTTTCAAGTATCCACTCTTTGCTTTTATGTATTTCATTTTTAGCATTAATACTTCGATAAACTTTGGGGTAAAAATGAGCTCTTGCAACCCAATTCACCCCTCCAGAACAAGGCACACACTCTAACAATACTAAATTTCACCTTAACAATCGGTACAGTTCAAATAGGCAATTCAAGGGGTCACAATCTCTAGTTTGAGCACAAAAATTTGCAACCCCTAGCTGCATTCATAATTGCATACAGCATACATGTCACAATATGTTTATTTCATACTCTCTCAAGATCCATTTCATTATAATTAGCTTTGGGATAAACCTGGGTTCCACCAACATATGTTGCTTGGACTTTGGTTGTTGTAGATCCCACACCTTCAGCATTTGCAAAGGAGGAATCCCAAGAATCAGCAGACAAAACCACAAAATCTGCCCACTTTCCAGGAGAGAGTGATCCTACATCTTTCTCAAGGAAGCATGCCCGGGCGGCTGAGATTGTGTACCTGCCAGTTGCATTATCAAGGTTGTTTCACTTTCATTGTTTTACCTTAAATTCCACTCCCGGAAACAAAGCAAGGGCAAAGAAAGAAAAAAAAAAAAAGAAAAAAAAGTTTGTTTGTAGGTTTATGATCATCATACGCATCGACTGCCTCCTTTAGACTTAAGCGCTCAGATGGAATCCATGGCTCCTCCCGTTGTTCGCGGCCTGGAGGAGGTACTCTTTCCATTGCGGTCTTGATGCTTCTCAGTGGATTGATATCAGCTACCTACAACCAAAGCAAAGATAAAGAGAGTAGAAATAATTTGACTGGGGAACTATGGGAAAATATAAATATCAAATTTGTATTGATAGTAGCATTCATACATACTGGCCAGTCAGACCCAAATGCTAATTGTGCATTGTTTGCGAGGAGTGACTTAAATAAATAGGACCCTTCCTCTGCCCTCTTCAGCCCAAGTTTCTTGATTGCAGAATCAGCATCGTCCAATAAGTGGTCTGGCTGTTTGTTGTTAATTGGTATTCAACTATATAAATATATTGAGCATAAACATGAGAGTGCATATGCTACGGAAATTTAACAGAAGACAGTTATAGTTGCATTAGTCACTACTCAAGATGGATTTCTGATATTGCAATCGATCAAAGTTTCCTGTATTTTTTTCCCTGAAGAGCTAAGTAGTTCCAATAAAGTGCCTATTTTCTACAAAAAAATCATTTACAACCCAACCCGGCAACTAAAAGAGAAAAACCCCAGAAAAATAAGCCTCTTATCGAAACTTTGGTGAATCACAAACAATACAAATGAGTTCACATATGATGAAGGCAAAGAGGGAACCTGCACTGAAGCAACTATTGCTTGCTCACCAAACCGTGCAACACTCCCAGTGGCCAAATGTTGAGCATGTTCAATCTGCAAGTAGTTGCAGTTGCTAGTAAAAAAATTACTTTTTAAGTTCTTTGAATGATGTTTTAGGCGTTAGCACACAAACTAAGAAAGCAATGATTTATTTTTTTTCTAAAATTAAGGTATAGTATAGTATGACTAGAATACCCCTATTACTCCCTCCGTTTGCAAAAAGGCTTCCTACTTTGACTTGGAGCCAAATTAAGGAAGTGTTAAATTATAGTCGACTTCCAATTTTGCCCCTGATGTGATGGGTAAAAATAAGATATGATGGATAGATTATTAGAGAAAAAGTATGATGTGATAGATAGGGTATGAAAAAGTAAGGGTAAAAGTGGTTTTTTAATGGAAAGTGGAAGTGTTTTGTTGGAAGTGGAAAAAATGAAAGAGGAAGTGTTTTTGAGAACGGAGGGAGTAGTATTTTTAGCACAATGTAGTTTCATGGATGTAGAAAGGTGATGGTGGAAAATGATCAATTACTGCTCTCTTAATATCCTAAAGAGAGATTTATTAGAGGTTCTTTTCCCCCTCTAAAGTGAAAATTAAAAGAGTGCATATATATATTATTTCTCATAAATCGAGGCAACAAAGAAAGCTAGAAATTGACTGGTAAAGTTCTTGGGCTTGAAAGCATTACCCTAAACCGCCGATCCTTGCTTTGATTCTCAGAGGCCACTGAAGCATACATATCCAAGATTAAGTCATTGGCTCTGTCCCCTATAGCATGAATGGCAATCTGAATTGTAGATAGATATATTATATTATCTGACAATAGTGCATAAGTAACACAAGAACCAGCAATAAAATCTAGGAAAGATAGAGCACCTGAAGGTCAGATTTATCTGAAGAAAGTGTCATGTTATATATCTGATCCAAATCCAGTAGTTGTAGTCCATAGTTGTGAGGCTCATCAACATATGGCTGAAGACACAGGAAATGTGTGGTGGCTCATTTCAACCAAAGTGATAGGGGAAAAAAAAAGCAACAGGAGAAGAGGAAGGAGATGTGAAAACCAAAGGGAATAACAAATCAACCGCAAATAAAATAATATGTTTTAGGTGTTCTTGTTGGAAATTTGATTTTGTTTGTCCAAATCCTTAATAATTTGCATATAAATTTAGCCATTAGGTTTGAGTTTGACTGTCGCAAAGCAAGAGAGCTTGAGAGTATTATTGAGAGAAAGTTGTGAGAGTTGAAGTGTCTTTCTTTATTTGGGTTTTGGGGTGTGATGAATGTTCCTTAGGAACATTTGGGCTCCTATCCGTGGGTATTTGGGTTGAGAGAATTTCTCTCATTTGTGGGATTATGCCCAAGCCCAAGTTGTAACTCCTTCATCTACGGAGACGCGGATAGTGGAGTTAGTTCAGTACTATGTGAAGTAGGCCAATTGCCAACATAAATCTTGTTCTCTTTCATATTTGTGTTTGATTCCATTTGTCACGTAATTCTTGTTAGGTGATACTATATTCTTTAAATTATTCAGGAAAATTTTCGTCAGCAAGACAATAAGAGTCGTAGGTGGATATTAAGAAACCTCCTAGGAAATTTTCCTTGTTTAATTTTTGGTACATGTGTTCACATTTGGTGGAAAGTTACCCGATTTCCACAATTCCACAACAGAGAAATTTATTGCAGTTAACTAAATCTATGACAAGTACTAAACAGCCCTTCTTCATTCCCAAGTATAAACACTATTTCAGATAGATCTAAATATATGCAAGACATTTTTAAACCAGCAGAGAGCAAAGTCTCATAATGCCTTAATTGATGCGCTTTTGGAAGAGAGATGACATTGGAGAAAAACAGAGCAATCAACTGATTTTAGTAAACAACAACAACAACCCAGTTAAATCCCACAAGAGTAGGGTCTGGGGAGGGTGTGTGTACGCAGACCTTACCCCTACTCGAAAGTAGAGAGGCTGTTTCCAAAGAGACCCCCGGCTCAACGTCGAAAGTTGCAATCAACTGATTTTAGTATCTGACCTCATAAAACAATGCACTGTTAGATCCCAAAGATCCATCAGCAAAAGCCTTCACACCACCCAAGTGAATCCATTGGCTCAGGCTACGGCCAACCTTCTTTACAAAACCCTGACGCATAAGGATTTTGTTTGTGAGAAAACTTATCCACATAAATAAATACGGAGTATAGAACAATATGTTTAAGGTTTCCCATTCAAAAGGAATGGAGCAGAAACATGCATATATTGCTGCTTGAAGAAACAGGGAGGAAAACATAAGATAATTTCTAGCTGCATATATTTTTTGTGTGCCCTTCCGTTCTCATCCATACTGATTGAAGTAAAGACTCAAAAGCCTTCACTCCTTCAGGTTCTCCTTCTCCTCATTTTCAGCACACAAAAAAAGTACTCCGTACAAAGTACACATGCATTCATCATCTATAAGTCAAAAACCACATGTGACCTGTAACAAAGAAAGTACCTACTTAAATCTATCCATGATTTGGTAAATTTTTAATTCGACTAATCCATATAACTTCCTAAATACCTCCAAGCGTGCCCAGGTCTCCAATGGAAAGAATAAGCAAACACGGATCACCATATTTCCTGACAGATCAGCCCATTGGTACACATCTGCATTTCGGGTGCAAATGATGGGGTTAGCAACTTTACATTCGACCAGATGTGTCATTCTCTGAATATGAATTAAAAAAGTAGATAGTGAAAAATTATTATGATTGGTTTTTCATGCAATGACAGAATTCTTAATTTCAATACTGTTGTAGGTTCTGTACACATCTGTTTGATAAATGATAATGCCAATGTGTGTGTGTGTTTGTTTGTGTGTGTTTTCCCTCAACGTTTCACTACTTTTGGAGATATTTTTATCACAAAGTAATTACTCCCTCCGTCTCACTATTCTTGTCCCATTTTACCTTTTCTGTTTGTCCCATTCCATATTTAGTCATATTTTTGTGGTTCACCATCATTCTTACTTTATATTTCTTTTTAACATCAATATCAACCACACAAACTAACTTTTCTTAATTTTGTGCCACTCCTCCATGTCCCAAAAATAGTGGGACGGAGGGAGTATTAGAGTTTAATAAAAGTGTAAAGTGTTCCTTGTGACTAAAATCCTATAAAAAAATATAGATGCCAAAAGAAGAAGAAACTATTGCCATGCAAATAACCACTGCAGTAATGTTGGCAATGTTTTATCTGGAATGAACCTGAAAGATCCTCCCATGGGAGTTCTGCAGATGAACCAGGGAAGTATCTCCCAAAATCGACTACTGTTGTCACACCCCTCATCACCGCAAGGCTGCTTGCCGATAAAAAAGCTTTCCTCCTTTCTTCTACTGAAGGTTCAGGGATGCAGGAAAACACAAGCTTCATTGCAGAATCTATCAACAAACCAGTAGGTTCTGCACATGATGATCACGAATTAACCAAGAATCTTGCTTAGTTTTTTAGAGAGTTAAACTTTGGTTGCTAACTTCACAGCAAAAAGAAGTTTAAAAGCGTGATTGAAGTGCTTCATCTCTATTTTGCTAATTTAAGTGTACAGCCATAAATTTATATGTGCTTCTGCACAAGATAATAAAATAGACATTGGGTTCACCTCCATCACTGTTTTTCATTATAGCTCCTCCGTCTATATCCTGTGTGTCACGAGATATTCCAGCAAGTTTTAGTGCCAAGGAGTTTGCCAAGCCCATATGTCCATCCATCCTTGATAGCCAGACCTAGGTATGATCTAAAAGCATGAAAAGAGTGCCTAATGTGGCTTCCTATGCAAATGAATGCATTGTGTTTATTATAAGCATTTTCTTACAGGATTCTGAGGTGTAATATCATCAATCCAAGAAGCCATTGGCAAATCTCCTCCCCAAAGATCATTGTTCCACCCACCACCCAATATCCATGATCCGGATTTTATACCTGACAAAATCTACAAGTGAGACCAGAACAAAAAGGGGAAGGAAAAAGACAAGCAGGTATGTAAAATACTTGAGTAAAGTTATAATGAGGTGTAGTCTTCGTAAGAACCTCTTTCAGATTTTATTATCAGGAGTTCAATAAATCTAAATAATTCTTATTGAATTAATATGCCGTTTCACATATGTTCTATTTTGCTTTGTTTTCTTTTGCATTGTAAGAAGTGCAGGTAATTATAGAATGCAAGTAGCCAAGTAAACTGAAGTCGATAAATTGAAAGTAACTCTACTTATTCTCTAGTAAAATAGATCAATATATTGATCTTAGAAACACAACCATAAGCTGCAAGGGTGAAAAGGACATTTACTTGTTAATGCATCATTAACTTTGCTAACAAAAAGTTCTCTTCGGTTAACACCGCGCAGTTCCACTCGTGCCATCTATTCCAGTTTCATTTTCAAAACAAGAAAAAAAACATGCAGTTCAAATGTCCAATCAAGATACACAATGTGAACAATTTCACAACTCTAAAAAGAGTGCCTAACAGCAAGCAAGCCAAAGGCAATGTAAACATGCATGATGCATGGTAAGTGAAATACCACATTTCACAAAATATATGAAAGGGAAAACATAGGGACTGATATAAAACCTGAAGTCCTCCAAAGATAAAGTGCACATGAGAATCAATAAATCCTGGAACCACAACTTTTCCATCTGCATTCAGCTCCTTAGTCGCAAATCCAGCCAAATCCTGTGTTCATATAATCATATATACATATATACACCATT